CATGCACCAAACCACCAAAATGTAGCCTCTGCGTCCGGAAAGGTGAAAAGCAGACGGACCATTCAACAGGCAGCTTCAAATGCCCATCCTACCGTGAAGCTGCACTTAAACTGAAATGTTAAGATTTCTTCAGCTTAACTTAAATCATTGTGTTGCTACCCAAGATCTACTAGAGCAGACCATAGAGTATAGACGTAGACTTTATCAGTGAGCCTCATCACTGCAGGACCACCTGCCATAGGACATGGTCAACTAACGCCAATGGCAAAGCTGTATTGTGGGTATATGGCAACTATTCGTACGCGGCCGATATAGTAACTTATGGCTTTACAGTTGCTTGACGAGCTAGCCGAGGATGCTAGCATGAATTATACAACGAATTATACAACAAATGTTTAAATCAGGACGTTCCCTGCAACCTGAAAAACCCAGAACTTAGTATTGATACCCAAGGCTGGCAAATCTGTCTCTTAGACACAATGGGAAAGGTGTTTGAGATACTGATTTGCTCTAGAATGGAGACTTCTATTGCTAGTGCCGGAGGCGTGTCACCTAATCAATTTGGTTCCCGGAAGGGCCGGTCAACAACAGATGCGCTAGAAAAAGTTGTTGGCCTAGCAAATTCCACCATCCAAGGCACCAGATGGAGGCACGGAGCGAAGCTGTACTGCATCATCACGACCCTGGAAGTAATGGATGCGCTTTCAAAATATAATATCCTTAAATATCTAAAAGAGATAATAAAGAACTACTTCAGAGGAAGAACACTGGTACACAACACAAGTGAGGGGATCCAAACTCATACAGTATCACCTATGGAATATTATGTTCGACGGCGTGCTGCGCTTGGAACTTCCAGCAGGTGCGCACACCATTGGCTTTGCTGATGATGTAGCTCGTCTCCATAAGCAAGGAGCTTAAGTATACTGAGGATATGTGCACCTGGGCTCGAGCTAGCGGCACACAAAACCGAAGTCGTCTTAGTCAGCAGTCGCAAAAGACTGGAAACTGCCAATATAAAGATCGGCAGCGTCACCATTGCGTCAAAGAGGGCTATAAAATATCTATATATAGAATAAGTGCATAAAAAGGCAGCTGATTGTTGTAGAGCTCTTTCAAGAATTATGCCGGGCATTTGCGCCACCTACTGCGCAAGCTACGGTGCTCGTCATAGCCGGCATGATGCCTCTGGAGGACTTAGTCGCCGAAGCCGTAACGGAATGCACATGAGCCTATACGACGCAACGATATCAGAACGGACAGCATTGCACGATGGCAAAGAAGGTGGAACAACTCCACTGAAGGGCGGTGGGAACATACTCTCATCCCGGAGCTTGAGCCATGGGTAAACCACAATTACGGCGACGTTAATTTTGATCTTTTACAGATTTTTTCGTGACATGGATACTTTCGGAACTTTTTGAAGCGCTTTGGCCACGATGATACCGACGAATGCTCTTGGTGCGGATGAGGTCTGGTGGAGGACGCCAACCACGTTTTATTCGAATATGGACGCTCCCTCGAGGAGAGGCGTTGTCTGGGAAAAGCAGTGAGCACTCCATTAGAGCCGACAACATGGTCAATCGGAGGCAGCTTCGCGGCCATAAGTGTGACGGATCTTCACAGAATCGAGCAAAGACGAGTTGTCCCATGCTAAGGGAGTGCAAAGTGCTTTCGAAGCAATGCTTTACGGCCGTCCCGCAAGCATCGTGCGCTACCCTTAGCCACCTAAACACATTGTATTATATACGTAAGGTTGTTAATAAACGATTATAAAACAAGTAAGAAAGCTCTAGTCGCCACTGCTCGACTAGGAGATACTTTGAACCCTCAGGTCTGATATTCTAATCACTCTGCACTTATTTTAGGCACACATACATACACACGCGCGTATTAGAACGCGCTTTGCAAACTGTGCAGTAAGCAGCGACTACGCTTGGGCTGCTCTGCAGTGTGGGCAATGTTATACAAAATTATTTGTTGAATAATTTAATTTCTAGACGTACAATCTTAATGAAACTTTCAGAA